CTGCCTTTCTAACTGTTCAGGGAGCAGTGCAGAAAACCTCTCAGTGCTATACCTGGAGCAGCTTTCGGCACATCGCCATGGTGGGCCGTCAGTGTCTGTAAGGCTCCCTGGGACATCGGGTGGGAGCTAGGACCAGCCAAGGCATCTTCAGTGCAATGCCCAGGGTGACTTCCTGGGGATGAGAACCTCATCACTGCTCTAGTGCCTTCCAGCTCAGCCTAGTCTCATTGCCAGGACCTGCCCACAGGCCCAGGGGGAAGGACAGCACCGCGCATACCTGGCACATACGTTGAAGCTTTCTGCTCAGGTACTGATGCACACAGTGACTCATATAGCCTTATGCACACCTAGGAGCCATCCACTGATACTGGCTTCACTGGGCCCAGTCGCTGGGGGCCTCACCGGCCATGGACTCTCACACATATCCCATGTGCCAGCACATGTGGACATTTGCACACACACAAATGTGCACCCAGAGTTGTGTGAGCGTGACTGCACAGTGTGTGAGCACAGGGGTCACTAAAGCGTTCACAGGAATGGTGGAGCCAGGCCTGGAGTGTGTCTATTGCTCAGCTCACATTACAGACGCTGTCGCTGTTTGCACCACAGGCTTCCCTCTGGTGTCTGCTTGCTGGGTCTTTAGAGCGGACTGGGGCACTTGATTGGTTTACAGGGCAGGGCAGTGGGAGAAGGGCTAGCGCTCCCCAGGGCACTGCAGGGGACCTGGCGTAGTTGGGAGGCCTGACCTCCCACTGCCTGGGCAAGGAGTGTTCTGCAGCATTCCAGTGCAGCCCCTTTGGAGGACTCAGGCCTGGCAGGTGTCGGGCGTGCAGAGCAGAGGGAAGGATGCTGGGGGGAAGATCCTGAGCAATATAGGGGCCAGTGGATGCTTGTGTGTATCGGGCACTGTAGCTATCTGTACTCAGGGGTCGTTTAGAAGCGAGACTGCCATATTCTGTGTGGGATTGAGGAGCCCCAGAGGAGTGCTCTCAGCTTGTGCCTCACACTTTCTCCCACTGCATTACACTGAGCTTCTCCTGCTGCCCACAGATCCTAACAATAACAACGATCATAGATGTACCAGAACCAGCCCCCTCCCAACTTCTTCAAGCCGGGGTTTGAGAGCCAGAGCCAGCTCTGAATTTTGCAGCTCAGGCCCGGCTCTAATAATCACACTGCATGTTGCCCTTCTTCCAGCCTCTCATTCCTGTGAGCTAGCCTTGTTTTACACCGCTCAGCTTTGCTTGGCAACTATCCGTGAACACAGCTGCATCTGGCCTGGCTGTGCTCCCGGTCAGGACAAGGCTGGCGCTGGGCCTGGGCATGAGAGCCTGTGATCCCAGCAGAGTTCCCGTCCCTTGAAACACCCCGCTCTCACCGAGCATCCACACCAGCTTGGCCTGTGGCCCCTCCAGGCTATAGGGCTGCAATGTCCCCAAAGGCCACAGAGCTGAGAAGCTGTCATAACTATAAAGAGAAGGGCAACAGCCCTCCTGTGTACAATACTATAAAATCCCTCCTGGCCAGAGACTCCAAAATCCTTTTACCTGTAAAGGGTTAAAAAGCTCAGGTAACCTGACTGACACCTGACCCAAAGGACCAATAAGGGGACAAGATACTTTCAAATCTTGGTGGGGGGAAGGCTTTTGTTTGTGCTCTTTGTTTTGGTGGGAGTTCGCTCTTGGGACTAAGAGGGACCCGACATCAATCCACGCTCTCCAAATCTTTCTGAACAAGTCTCTCATATTTCAAACTTGTAAGTACAGCCAGGCAAGGCGTGTTAGTTTTATCTTTGTTTTCTCAACTTGTAAATGTACCTTTTGCTAGGGTGTTTACCTCTGTTTGCTGTAACTTTGAACCTAAGGCTAGAGGGGGGTCCTCTGGGCTCTTTACGTTTGATTACCCTGTAAAGTTATTTTCCAT